GCTTGCCTAGAGTCATACAGTTGATACATGGTAGAGTTGGATTTGAACCCAGGCAGCATAGCTCCAGAGTCCATGCTAAACCACCACACCACCACCCACACCACACCTAGAGCACATGGAGGAGGAGTGCTAGACCCAGTTAGCAGATGTCCAGGCTACTATGGCTTTGCAGCCCCAAAACTTAGTGGCTTAAAACATCAATAGTCGTTGATTTAGCTCACAAATCTACAGTTTGGGCAGGGCATGGTAGGAAAGGTTAGTTTCTGCTCTACAAGATGGTAGCTTGGGCGCCTCACTTGGAGACTGGAGAACCCACTGCGAGATGCTCCACATGGTTAGGGCGAGCTGGCTGCTGGCTGGCAGCCCAGCCAGGGCCGAGAGCTGGGAGTCTCGGTCCCCCTCTGCGTGGGCCTCTCCTCCAGCGGCTCAGGCTTCCTCTCAGCATGGTGGCTGGGTTCTAAGAGATAAGAAGTCTGAAAGCCTGGGCCCAGAGACTGGCAACAGCATCACTTTTGCCATAATCTATTGGTTGAAGCAGTCATATATTCCAGATTCAACAAGCGAGGCTATCAACCTCACCTCTAGATGGAAAGTGTTAGAATTTGTGGGCCATGTTTAAAACTAATACGTTGGGCCTGGGATCCAGAGGACAGACTGGATCCCCGGAATGAGGGAGAAGCAGCCGACTGTTACATCTTGCTCAAAGGTAGACAGAAGGGAAGGGGAATTGACTGTCACAAAAGCGAATCTCAATACACTTTGCGACAACCCTCGGACACAGGTTTTTTTCACCACTCTTTATAGATGAGCGCTCTGAGGCTCAGAGAGGGGGCATCAGCTTTATCCAAGGTCACACAGCAGATGAGTGGCAGAGCTTTTCTGATTCCAGAGCTGACCCACTGGCCTCTCTGCTGGGTGGCCCAGGTGAGGAATAGGGCTGGCTCAGAGGCACGGCAGGGTCAGCCAGGGCAAGCAGGAGGGCAAGGAGACAGGCTGTGACTCATGTCCTCCAGAAGCCTTCCCAGATCAGGGAAGGGCCCCAAGTCACCCTGTCCCAGGGATCCTTTCCCCCTGGCACCTTTTCTCAGGCTGGGGCATGGACAGAGCTTCCTCCTCAGCCCTGTATTTCCCAACCCTTAGCGCTTCCCGAACCCTCTCCGTACTTCCTTGAAGCCCTTCCAGAGGTGTTCTCCCACCCCCGCCTGTCTCAGCCATAAGCTTTGCATAATTACCAAAGTAAGGTCTTCCATTTTCTACACATCATTTTTATCGTAAAAAAGGTTTAGATTTAAAGAAAAATTGCAACACTGTTTATAGGGAGTTCCCACATTCTCCATAGCCAATCTCATAAACTGAGATTGATACATTACCATCAGCCTCACAATATTATTGGCATTATTATTAAAGTATAAGTCCATACTTTGTTCAGATTTCCTTAGTTTTTTACCTAACGTCCTTTTCTGTTCTAGGAACTACATTACACTTAGCCATCATTAGGCCTCTCTTGGCTGTGACAGTTTCTCAGACTTTCCTTGCTGGTGACGATCTTGACAGTCTTGAGGAGCACTGGTCAGGTATTTTGCAGAATGTCCCTCAGTTGGGTCTTGCCTGGTATTTTTCTCATGGTGAGACTGCAGTTACGGGTTTGGGGGAGGAAGTACTCGGAGGTTAAGTGCCACTTTTGTCATCGTCATATCAAGGGCACACACTACCAGCATGACTACACTGTGGATGCTAACTTTGGTCACTTGCCTGAAGTAGTGTTTGTCAGGTTTCTCCACTATAAAGTTACTCTTTTTCCCCTTTCCGGAGTGCACTGTTTGGAAGTAAATCACAATGCACAGCCCACTTTTAAGGACTGGGAAGCTAGGCTCCTCCTTGAGCATCTACATACATCATCTGGAATCTTCTGTACAGTTTTGCATCTTCTCCCCCACTTACCTGTGTAGTCAATTGTTTATTTAAGTATGGACTCATGAATATTTATTTTATGCTTTGGGTAATAATTTAATACTACGACTACTGTATGTATTTTATTGCTCCAATTGCTCCAGCTTTTGAGCTCTTTCAGTGGCTCCTGTGCCCCTTTGACATACTCCCATCATTTCTCTTTTAGTGCTTGCTTATTTTCTGGCATTACAAGAGGCTCCAGGTTCATCTTGTACGTTTCAACCCCAGAATCAGCCATTTCTCCTGGGAGCCCTGGTTCCTTTTAACTGGAGAATGATATCAGAAACCAAGATCTGGGTACTCGGGGTGCCCAGTGCAACGGAGGTGCCATTGCTTCTAGGCCCTCTCAGCTGACAGAGCACAGGAATATATGTACATATATTAAACAGTATGTATCTCTAACTGACTAGATGTACACAGACCTATAAATATTTCTATATGTAACTATCTGTATCTATATTGAGGTAAGCCTGATTTCACACTAATATTACAACTCTGATCCATTATCACAAGGATCTTTCTAGCTTCCTCCCCTTGCTTGTTTGCAACCTCCCACTCCCACCGGGAGAAACCTGTTACTTAATTGTTCAGTTTCAATATACATGTATCGTAGTTTTGGAACTGTTAACCATACTCCAAGGAAAGCAACTTTAGCAACTAGAGTGTAGTGCTTAGGCACAGTTCTTTTTTTGTTCTGAGACAGAGTGTGACTCTCTTGCTCTGGCTAGAGTACAGGGGCATCATCATATCACTGCAACCTCAAACTTCTGGGCTCAAGGGATCCTCCTGCCTCAGCCTCCCAGAATGCTAGGATTATAAGAGTGAGCCCAAGAACCCTTCAATTTTGAAGTCTACTGAAATGTTTTTTTCAAAGTCCTTTTTATGCACATTATCTCATTTAATCGGCAAAGCAACCCTATGTGTTGGGAAGAGCAGAATAGATCAGTCACTCTATAGCGGAGAAGACTGAGGCTCAGAGGTGCTCACAGGCTTGCCTCTGGGCACACGGCGAGTGTGTGCAGATCTCAGCTGACCCTGCTGCTTTACTTCTCCTCTACTGAGGCCAGGGATTCCCAGACTCCAGAGGTAGAGGAAGGGAGGGTTGGGTTTATAGTTAAGCAGAAAATGAGGCTGTAAGTGAAAACAAGTCTTGGGCTGACAGAGGAACATCTGAGCTCTGGTTCTAGTTCTGCCATCTGGGCAGCCTTTGAATAAAGCACTTTCCTGGGCTGGGCCTCAGTTTCCTCTTAGGCAAAGTGAGGGATGAGGTGACCCCTAAGGTCCCACGGAGTCTAGCAGGCTACGTATGGCCTTTGCATGAGGCTGACTGCAGTCGTCAGGGAGGCTTGATGGGCAGGCAGGGGATATGGCTGGAGAAGTAAAGCTCAAGGCAACCACAGAGAAGCAGGCCCAAGTAAGGCCAAGTAGGGGGGCCGGACTGGGGTCAGGGTGGTAGCTCCCAAAGCCACTCCATGCCCGCCCCTTCCAGCAAGCTCTCCAGATGGTTACCACGAATGCTTTTATATCTTACTCCATGGTTTATGGCAGTGCTTTTAAAGCTGTAGTTCAAGACTTAATGGGTCATGACTTGCAATTAAAAAAAATAGAATAGAATAGATCAATGCATTCAAAATGATATGAATGGATAAGCATAACTTTTATTTCAATTATATGTGTAGGTAATAGGTCAAAATTTAAACTGTATTGGTCAAAAAAGACTGGAAGTCACCAGCTGACAGAGTACATTTTACACCCTTGTCTTATCTAACCATACTGGAACCTTGCAAGAAGGGATCATTATCCCTTGCAAGAAGGGATCTTGCAAGAAGGGATCATTATCACTATCACCATATTCTACACATGAAGAAACTGAGGCTCAGAGAGGTCGAATGGTGCACTCATGGTCCTCCAGCAGGGGGGCAGGGGTATGAAGAAAGCTCTCGGCTTCCAGACCCAGCTGGGGTTTCCTGCCTTTAGCTCCAAACGGAACTGTGGCACTTGTCTGCTTCACAAAGTCCCCAGCACAGCCCATGTAAGAAGGTCCAGGTTTGAGGATGTCTGGGCCCCTGGGCCTGGCCAGCCCACTTAGGCTTGGCAGAACGAGGGCTCACTTAGACTCAGTGGTCGTTCAGCCAGGACCAGGCTCTGCCGGGTGGGGCAATGAGGTCAGAGGAGCAAGCTGGTGGGAGAGGTTGAGGAAGGTCACATGGGCCTCCTCCATCCTCCCACCTGCCACACACACCACACTTAGCCAACACATTCACAGTAGGAGCCCCTGGCTGGGGCTCCCGAGGTCCCTCAGTGCCCTAAACCCCAGCCCCAAGCAACTACGGGTCCTACAGTGTCTCCATCTGCCCTGTCTCTCTATTCCCCATGTTCTCCTACTCTGTCTGAGGCCAACATGAGCCTGTTGGAGGGCATATTTTGCCCCTTTATTCTTTTCTTGCTCCCCTGACCTGAATGCCTACAACACCACTGGGTTGGTTTGTGATTTATGAGCTCACAAAACTCACTAATCCTTTTTCCTCAATTAGCTCCATGTAAAGAAGCCCTTGATTTCTCCGCAGACAGGAGGGCCCTGCTTCTCCCTGGCACACGGACCACCAGCCCCTGGCCAAGACCCCTCCCATGTGGCTGTGTGGTTTATTTGTGGTCTGTTCATCAAAGGTCAGAAAATCCCTGACAGTGGTGAGGAAAAGGCAAGAAAAGGGAGGGACAGGAGTCTTCCCGCAGCACAAATCTGGCCAACATCCTCCTGGTCACTGTGCCTGGGTGAGCTGGGTACCTCCACCAGGACACAGTGGGTCTCAGCATCTCCCAGGGACTGGGGCCTGGGGACACCGGGAAGAGTCACCCGCAGCTTTGGTGGGAACTGGCCTGCAACAGCCCTGGAGGGAGGACTCCCTGACATCACTTCAGGTCTCTGCTCAAATGTCACCGACCCAGAGAGGCTGCCGTTTACCCCCTTCCCCACCTAGCTCTGGACACCCCCTCCTGGTTTTGCTTTTTTCCTTACCCCTTTCCACTGTCTGACAGTCTGTTTCTCTTACCTGTTCACCCACGGCCTCCCCCACTAGAACGTAGCACAGGGATCTTCATTCTGTTCATGGCTTTCTCCTTGTTGCTTAGAACAGTTTCTGGAAAATAATAAACATTCAATAAATGTTTGTTGACTGAATGAGTGAGTGAATTTCTTGGGACCTAAAATGGCCAAAAGAACCCATTCCATGGCCTGCCTAGCACCCTTTGGATGTGCCCTGGATCCCAGTGAGACCAGTAGTCCAGACTCCATGGCTGGTCCAGGTTCAGCCAGACACAACCCAGACCTCCTTGGTCAACCCTGTTGGTGGCTGTCCCAAGGCTGAAATTTCTTCAGAGTTGCTCCTGTTTCTGGCCTGGCCACAGGACGCGGGGAGCTGACCTGCTCTAGGAGACCCCCTTTCCTGGCCAAGCACTGGACATCTCTGGGCACGTCTCATTGTCTCGGAACTGCCCCCCAGCAGAGAGAGCCCAGAGCTTCCCCCAAACCCCTTCAAGAGACATGCCTGGGCCCAGAGGTTCCTTGGTTCCCTTAGAAGGGGCCAGGCCCCTGGGGTCCCCAGGAGGGAAGGGAGAGCAGCGTGTGAGGTCGCTGGGCCTGGGACGCTGAAGCTCAGCTTGGCCTGGGTCCCCAAATGGACGCAGCGAGGGGGCAGGCGGAACGCTGGCGGTGGGAGAGGAACAGGCACAGAGACAGAAAGCCCGCAGCAGACGGGCAGGGACCAGAACGCCTGGGAGAGACAGAGATAAAAAGACGGACAAGGAGAGAGGTGGAGGGACACGGAAGGACTCAGGGAGAGGGGTCGGTGGACGCGAGAGCCCGACCGACAGACAGACCGACAGGGGACGGAGAGCACAGAAGCCGGCGCGGCAGCCCGGGAGGCGCGGCTGAATCGCCGCTCTGTTCTGGCGCCACTGAGGGGCTTTCTTCGCTGCCGTGGGAAAGCGGTGGGCGAGCGCGCGCCCGCCGCCATGTGGACGGTAATTAGCCGGATTAGGCGGGGGCCGCGCGCCCGGGCGGCCGGCCGGAGAACAAAAGGCCCCTCTTTGCCCGCGCGAACGGCGGGGTCGCGGGGTCAGCGGGCAGGGTCCCCCAGGAGCCGGCGAGGGGACGCGCGCCAGGAGAATGGGGCCTCTGTGCACCTGGCGGGACCGGGGACCCCAGGGAGGTCCAGACTTGGGGCGCGGAGGACAGCAGGGAGGAAGAGGGAGAGGGGCAGGCGCAGGGAATGGAGGCCAGAGACGCAGAGACAGCAACAGAGGGCAGGAGGACTAATAGTGCCTGTGACGCGGATGACATCTACTGAGTGCTTGCCGCGTACCGGCTCCATGCCCGCCTGGCAGACAGGCTCATCTCATTCAAGCCCCAGAACCACCACCTGAATGGGATCTTGTGCCATGTGGGCCAAACTGGCCAGGCCTGAGCTTTTGAAGACAAATAAGCAGCCCGGCCTTTCAGGTGGGATTTCTAAGTTTTAAAGCAAGTTGTGGGCCATGTTAACATAGGTTAGATTCAGCTCGCAGGTTAGCAGTTCACAGCCTTCTTCCTGGTACCCTGCGCCTCAGGAAGAGGGGATGCCCTCTCCCCTCCCTCAAGCTCTCTTCCCCCTGCTTCTCCTGGGTCAAAGAATGAAAGGAGGGACTAGCGCGGGTGTTGGAGGATGCCCAGTCCAATACCTGTGCCCTGCCGCGGGCTGTCCCCGTGGCGGAGACACTGTACCTGCCCTGGGATCCGCAGGCTGCAGAGGCTCAGGCAGGAAGTCTGCTGGCCACTGGGATCTGGGTGACCAGGCACATGGCCAGGAGACAGGGATTGTCACACCCATCTTGTCTGGGGGAAGCCCAGTGAACCATTAAACGAGCGTTTCCTCCTGGGACACAGTGCTGGCGGGTGAAAGCTGCAGCCCAGGAGGAGGAGAGGCCTGATTCCCTCATCTTCCTCACACCCACCTCCATTCATCATACAGCCTTCTCACGTGTGGGACTAATGTTAGCCTACTCTTGGCTGAAGAAACTGAGGCACAGAGGGCTGGAGCATTTGTCTGAAGGGAGTGGAGAGTGAGCATCTGGGGCTTGAAGGGGCTCCAAGGTTGAGATTTGTTTGCAAAGTGGTGTTTTCTTCAAAGTTGGGAACTATTTTGTATCCTACTTTGTAGTATATGCGTGGCTATTTCAGTACAGAAGTGGTGGTAGTTTTCCTCCCATAATCTGGTAAACCTGGTGCTTGGGAGGGTGAGCCACGTTTGTCCTGTGTCATCTTGAACCCCTGGCACTTCACTGTGAACCCACAGCAATCCACATCCAGGAGAGAGAAACCAGACTTGGGAACCTTCCCCCAAAGCCAGCTCATGACAAAGTGGACCTGAACCCAGGCCCCCGACTTTCTTGGGGGCATGCTGGGTAGGAAGGGGGTTCTGTTGCTGTTCATGCCTCTCCTTACGCTCCCCCTCGTGGGACACTGTGGGGAGGGCTCACTCCTGCTTCCAAAGGCCAGGTACTGCTTTGGCCAAAGCTGAGTACCCGAGGGGTGATACCGGCCAAGCTGGACGCGGTCTTTTCTCCTCCATTGGCTACTTCCATGTTCTCTCCTTTTTCAGGCCAATGCTTCTACCAAAGCAGCTGCTTCCTCTCGTTCCTGAGGGCGGCAGGCCTGTGTGGTGGCAAGGCACTCCTAACCCTGGGCATGGGCTGGGCGTGGGGAGGCCTCAGGCCCTGGGCTAACGGCTACACAGTGGTAGCAAAGAGCAAGAGGTCAGGCTTCTCTCTCCCTGGCCCCTGAAAGAGCAGGAGTCAGGGCCCCAGTGGGGGGCAGCCAGAGAAGGGGAGGGCTGGATTCTGGGGCAGCTGCCCTCTGACAGCATGAGGCAGTTCCCTTCAGCTTGAACTCAGCAAAGGGGCTTTAGAGCCAGAGAAGTGGGTGGAACATGAATCACTGACCCTCAGCAGCCCAGCAGCTGGGGACCCTGGGGGTCCTGGGGATTCTTGCACCTCTTCCAAGCCTCCCCCACTTTTCCCTGCCAGTAGCTGGTGGTGGTTTCAGAGACAACCAGCCCAGAGTCCCTAATGGCACAGCAAATGCTAGCTTCCTGCCCACCACCCCACCCTGTTAGGGTGGGGGACAGGTTTGGGGACGGATTACTCAAAAGAAACCTAAGTTCTGGGGAGAAAGCCCTCCAAGAAATGTGGGAAACGTCTGGAGCTGTTTCAGTCCCCGATCAAATTTCTGAGCTCAGTGCTACCAGACCATTTTGGCCGCAGAATCCACTCTTCCCCGATTTCCCCACTTCACACACAGCCGGCTCAGGGGCTCAGGTTCCCGCCTGGGAAGCACAGGCAGCAGCTCCGCCCTTTCCACCAGAAGGAATGGAGGAATTTTATTCCAAGACTTATGGCCAATTATTATACATTGACCACTTATTGAAACCTCCAGCCTTGAAGAAAACCAAATTCCCACAAGTGTGTCCCCTCCACCAAGCCCCTCCACCCCATCTTCTGGGCCACAAGTATGTGTACAGGTCTCCTGGCCTAGAGATTGCCAAACTGCAGTGTGGACACCAAGGAGGCCTGAGTCTTGGGAGGGAGAACAGAAAGAAACCTGCTCTACCTGCCTGTGAACTTCATATTACAGTTCTGGACATGCACCATGAAAAGATGGGTTTGTGCATCCAAAGTGCAGTAAGCCAAGAGTTCAGGGTCTGATCCAGGTGTCCTGCTGATGGGATGAGGAAGGACACTGGAATGGGCAGCCCCTGTGGCTGGATTCCAGCAAGCCTTTCATCGCATCCTTCGCCATGGAGACCCGGAGGGTTCAGGGTGAAAGACTTGTGATTCCCCAGGGCCTGGGCCTCGAGGCCCGTGGCAACGTGGAGAGAGCTTCTGACACAGCCTTGGTCCTGGCCCCTTCAACATGTTTGCCAAGGACTTGGATGAAGATGTGGGCAGTAGAATTCTCAAATTTGCAGACCATCAAAGCTGAGAAGAGTAGGAAATACACCAAATAATAAAATTGGGATCCAAAAAGGTTTAGTCAGTCTGGGTGGCTAGGCCACATTTAAAGAGGTGAGTCTAAAGGGGGTTTGGTGTAAGGATCTGCTTGTGGAATCCAAGAAATAGACTGCCTCTGCACATGTTTAAAAAAACAAAAACAAAACTGAAGGATTTCAGGTATTCAGCTTAGGGCCAATCAACTATGTAATAAATCTGCACAAAACAGTAGTGTGATCTTCAGGTACATTAAGGGAAGTCTTGTTTCATGTTAATTTCTTCCTGGTCCTGTGACCATCCACATCAAAAACTTTGGGGTTTGTTAAAAATTCAGACTTCTGGACCCACCCAAGATGGTTCGATCACACTTTATAGGGATGGAACCCCAGAGTATGCATTTTCGGCAACTTCTAAGTGAGTTTTGAGGACATTTCCTGCTCTTCCTTCCATACTGGGCCCTCTTGCCAGGACTGGCCTGCCTCTGGGCAAAGTAAGAAGGCCCCTGCCCAGCAAAACTCCTCTCTCCGCTAGAAGTTCCACTACCACGGCTTGTAGGACCCAGCCCCTGTGAATGGCCTTGTCAGCGAGATTTTTGGAGATAAAGACAGTTGGCTCATAGCCAAATTGTGGTGGAGGCCCTGGGTGGGGACACAGGCTAACCTTCCCAGATGAAGAACAAGGCTTAATCATATCGCCCAAGGGCCGTGATCCAGCTCAGCCTGGAGCAGTGGAGAGACCAAGAAATAAGCCATTTGTTCCTCACTAGCGTGGGAAGAGCTCAAGCTTTTGGAGAAGCAGCCTGAACATTGACTCCAACTTCCTCCTCTGAGATAACGATGCATTCCACACACAGCTGCTGTGAGTAGACGAAATAATGTATGTAAAGTTCTCTGGCATACAGTAGATGCTCCATGTTGCTTGTTGAGTGCACCGAATAAGTAAGTAAGCAGCAGATGAATGGATGGTTGGACAGACGGACAGACAGCCTCCGTGAATTCTTCTTTCTTACTTGCAATCAGCCTGTGCCTCTGAACTGATTGTCTCCCCCGCTTCCCCACTCCAGTGTCATTTCGTGACAGCTCAAAAGTGTCTCCATTCGGAGTCCAAGTCTTGCCTCCTAGGAAAAGCTCTTTCCCTCTCCACCTCCCCCCAGTGTCCTTCTTCCAGCCCCATCCAACTGCCAGGGCATTCCTGGCTGGCACTGGGTTCCGAATTCAGAGCAGGGGACATCTCAGGCACAACCTTTCTCAGGTTCCCCGAAGACAGGCCTGTCGCATGCTACTGGTTCCAGCTCAGTGCACCTTCCCGAAGGGCTCCCAGCCTCACTCCAGGCTGGCTGGGACTTGTGGGGGAAAATCAGCTGCAGGAGGCGTGGATCCTGCCCTCTTGGGACTTGGAGTCCGGAGGAAACACAGGAGCCATTGAAAGGTGGTCACTGCTGAGTGTGAGAAAGCGTTCCTAGCTGGCAGAATCATGGAAGACTTCATGAAGAGGTGACATCTGGGTCTCCAAGAGTGGATGCATTTGGGCATGCAGAGGTGGAGGAAGGGCATTCCAAGGAGAAGGACCAGCCTAACCAAGGCAGAGATGGCAACGTAGGGAGTAAAGGGAGGTGGACAAGGAAAGCTGAGATCATCTGGGGGAAGATATTGTGCAGGGCCAGCAATGCCAAACCGAGGTGTTTACTTGACTCCCTGGATGCTAGTCCAAGCAGGAGCAGGGGCTCTGGTTCAGGTGTGGCCTCTCTCCCTCTCCCCTCAAGGCTCCAGCCACAACCTCTTTCTGTACTTGGCTACCTGCTGTCCCAGGAGGCATCTGTGTGCCCAGGAAAAGGGTTATTCACTGGGCCTCCAGTGATTCACTGGAGGCCTCCCTTTCTGGGGGGAATCTGCACTTACAAAGCTACAGACTCTCCCCATCTCTGGTCCCAAAGGAATGAATGGAGGAAGTTCAGGCCCTATGCAGGCTGTTGGGCCCTGCCGATGCCTGCGTCAGGGTGAGGGGCTTCTCAGCCCAGACACATGCGGCCGCTCCTTTGGCTGTAGATCTCCCCCAGCCTCCACCCCGTCAAGCTCGCCAGTGGCAGGTCTGGCCTCTGTACTTTCCCCAGCTAATCCAAGCCACACAGAGAGCAGCCAGCCCGCCAGCGGGTCTTGTTTCACTGGAATGTTGGCATCAAACTTGAGATCGGAAATGAACTCATTATCTGATTATTTTTATTTATGAAAATATAACTGCTCTGGGAGAGGCTTTTCTAGAACAGTCCTCTGAGTGGATGAGTAATTCTCTCCTCTTCACACACACACACGCTCAGACACATATGTTCAGACACACACACACACTCAGAAACTCAGATATTCATACTTCTCTGCAGACACACACACACACGAGACAGCCACACGTTCCAGCAGATACATACCTTCAGGTACACACATCCCACGGAGACATGCGTTCTGGGTCTAATAAGCTCCTTTGAGGGCAGGGACCTTGTGTCTTCTCTTCACTATGGAATCCACAGGCACACATAGTAGGCAATCAGTAAATATTTTCAGAAGGAAGGAACAAATGGCTAAATAGTAGATGCACACAGACATGCACATGCATGATGTATACTCAGCCTCACTCCCTTCCTGGAACAAAGTCAGAGAACCCCAAATTCCACAGTGAAGTGTTCACACCGTGAACCACACCATGGATGTATATCCAGAACCTTCTGGTGGAGATGCCCATGCCAGTTCCCGGGGCCAAGGCAGCACTCCCGCAGCCCACTAAGGCCTCACCAGATGCTCACAGCCATCCCCGGCCTTGCCGACCTGAGACCAAATGTGCTGGTCTGGCCAAGGAAGCCTGAGGGGTTACTCAGGGCAAACTGTGTTCCAGGAATGCCCTCTGAGAGCTGCGCCCACTCACCCACGGCTGGCTCACTGGCAGGTCCTGGCATGGGGGTTGGGCAATACCAGCCCCCAGGCTGTATCTCTCTCTCCTCCAGCTCATGGCCGTGACTCAGGCTGTCCAAGGCCTGGGAATGGCTCCTTAGGAGAGGACTGGGCCAGGGGCAGGGATGGTGGCCGGGCAGGAGTGGAGAGCCCAAGAAAGGGCTGCATGGAGGCTGATCTCAGGGCAGATCCACAACCCTGACCCCCGGCTGTTCCCCATGGCTCGCCCACAGAGAGGACAGCCTGCTGTGCTAGAAAGAGTGCAAGGAAAGAGGCTCACCTGAATTGACATCCCTCCTGGCCACCAAGTGACTTTGGACAGGTCATTCACACTGGAGCTTCAGCTGACTCCAGCACCTTGAGCAATTGCATTCTTCCTGCCTTCCTGGCCTAGGCACACACTCTCCTGACCTCCCTTCCAGCCCCTCAAAAAGAGCCCTCAACTCCCTCTGTAGCATTTCAGGCCTCTTCAAGAGGCTTTTTAAAGGCAGGAGCCCTCCAGGGTGGACCGTCCAGTTCTTCCCACCCTGTAGTGTGAAAGAGCTACTTGACCTTCCTGAGAAACTGCACCTGGAAGGGGGAGGGACTCAGGTGGGGACAACTGTTTCACCAACATTGTCATGTCTCCAAACCTAGCCAGTGGGAAAGAAGGACTGTGACCTCTTAAAACTCCAAGTCACCCAGCAATTCCACTCCTAGTTATCCACCCAAGAGAAACAAATGCGTGTGTCCATAACTAATGCACATGAATGCTTTACTCATAGTACCTCCAACTGGAACAGCCCAAATATCCATTGACAGAAGATGGTTAAACAAATCATGATATACATCTATACTGCAATGCCACACAGTGATTAAAACACAACAACTAAAAGCACCTGCTACACACAACCGCATGGGTGAATCTCAACAATTTATGTTAAGTAAAATAAGCCAGACACAAAAAGACTGTGACACCATTTGTGCGAAGGTCAAGAACAGGTGGAATGGGCCGGGCGCGGTGGCTCACGCCTGTAATCCTAGCACTCTGGGAGGCCAAGGTGGGCGGATTGCTCGAGGTCAGGAGTTCAAAACCAGCCTAAGCAAGAGCGAGACCCCATCTCTACTATAAATAGAAAGAAAATTAATTGGCCAACTAATATATATAGAAAAAAAATTAGCCGGGCATGGTGGCACATGCCTGTAATCCCAGCTACTCAGGAGGCTGAGGCAGGAGGATTGCTTGAGCCCAGGAGTTTGAGGTTGCTGTGAGCTAGGCTGACGCCATGGCACTCATTCTAGCTGGGGCAACAAAGTGAGACTCTGTCTCAAAAAAAATTAAAAAATTAAAAAAAAAGAACAGGTGAAATGAATCTAGGAAGACAGAAGTCAGACCAGCAGTCACCGCCACGGTGGTATTTACTGGAGAGGAGCAGGAGGGACCGTCTGTGGAGCTGGAAATGTTTGCTGCCTTAGTCTAGTGGTCACATGGGGATGCACACATATGTGGCGACCCAGCAAGCTGTGCACTCAAGTCTGATACCTGTGTTGCATGTGAATTACACAGGGGAGGGACCCAAGTCACAAAGGAGGACTTCTAAAGGGAACTCACAAGGTTTGAGGGAGGAAGGCCAGGGAGCCAGAGTAGAATGAAGCCAAGACTGGATAAGAGAAGACCTAGAACATTCTTCCCAAATAGGCTGAGTGACTTGATCAAGGAGGGGCTGCCAGGAAGGACGGGGCAGGGGCCTGACCCTCCAGCAGACCCTGCCAGTGCCCAACCAGGTCGGGCTGCCCTTCTGGGGTCTCCTGCTCAGTGCTGGTGCCCTGGGTGCCCAGGCAGAGTAGATCTCAGTCACACACCATCTGTCCCTTCTTCCCTGTCCACAGCTGTGGGGCCCAGAAGGGGCTGAGCCCCAAGTCCCTTTCAGCTCCAGTTAGTGGGGAAACTCAATCTGCCCAAACATGCTCGAATAAAAGGGGTAAAGGAGAGAGCCTTGTTTTATCCCAAACTAGACTCTTGGACAGAGAATATTCCAGAAGCCTATACTCTCTGGGTCACTCAGTTGTCTGCAGGCCTGTGCGTGGGCAAGAGTGCATGTCCAGGTGTGTGTCTGCCTGTGCACATTGTGATGGGAGCGTGGCTTCATCCTCACGGGCACCAGCCCTCCCTATTCTGCTCTCTCCCCTGTTTAGCACCCCAAGTCCCCTCCATGGTGACCCCAGTCTTCCTGCTCCCCTTGACTGTACCGCTTTGACAATGGGGTCTGATGACCTCTTTGCAATGATGTGCAGAGACCAGGTCCCCATGCTTCTTGGACATTTTTTCAAGGGACCTTAGGCATTGCCTTCAAGTGCCATGACAGGCAACTCAAAATCCCTTGTTCTTGCTGTGTGGGCCCAGCGGGCGGATCACGGGTCGCTGGTGGCATTCTCAGGGCCTGGGAGTTGAGGGGCTGGACACTCTCTCAGCCTGGAGCTCCCATGAGGGGCACAATGACTGGCTCCCCAGCATCTGTACGAGGGGCCAGACACGTCCAGCAAAGAGAGGCTGCCAGCTGCAGGCAGCTCTGGACATTTCTGCCACATCTGCCTCTCTGGACTGACAGAGGACACCAGGGCTGATGGCCCCGCCCTGGGGCTCCCTTCCCCCAGCCCAGCCTTGTCCCCCTCTGCTTCCCTGGGCAGCCCCTGCTCCAGCCAGGTGGATCTCCTCCCTGAGCCCTCAGCAAGCCGTCCCCAGACCTTGTCCCTCAGTCAGTCCCCACCCAGCGCAGACACGTACTGCACAGTCATTGTAGTGTGAAGTGAGTCAGGTTCCTATGAGGTAGGTGCCCTCATTGTGCTCACTTCACAGGTGAGGAAACTTCAGTTGAGAAATCGAGTGACTTCCCTGAAGTCACATAGCTGGTAATTGGTGGAGCCAGGATTGAACCCAGGCAGTCAGACTTCAGCGCAGGAACTACCAAACCCTGAAGGTCTGTTAACTCATGCCCCGGAGCCCCGTGCAGCTTGCCCTTTCACAAGAGGCTGTCGAGTGTGGTGGTCTAGGGCACAGCTAAGGAACCAGGCTGCCTGGTTCGTCTCCCAGCTCCTCTTCCTGGGTGGATACTTGAGCATGTCACATGTCACTGACCCCTCTGTACTTAGTTCCCTCATCGTATCAGTGAATGGGGGTGGGACTGGGTGGTCACTCCAGCCACTGTACCAAAGCCTGCCTTTGGCTCTGGGCCCACACTTGGTCTGGGCTGTGGAGGCCAAGAGCAGGTCAACAGTACCTGCAAGGTACCCATTTGTAGTGCCTACTCCAGAAAGGGCCATGGGACCCAGGAGGGCTGAGTTAGAAAACTCACAGAACCCTCCCCAACACAGCAGCCAGCACATGGGAAGCCCGTGCCAGGACCCTGGAGCTCACCACCCACATCCCTCCAGCCCACTCTGAGCACCCTCCCCAACCCCAGCACCCTCACCACTGCATCTACTGCACCCTGGAACATATTCTGTCTGATGCTTTTCCCTAGATCTCATCCATGAACTCTGTTTCCCCGGTTAGGCTTCGAGTACCCATCCTCCATCTCCCTGAAAGCCCCTGGTAAAGGCTGGTGCAGACATCAGGCCCTCAAAACACACTTGAAATGGAGGGAATGGGTTTGGAGGCTTAAATACTATAGTTTTGGAGTTACTCCTTAAATATCCAGTCTTACTAGAGGTGGAAAAAGGAAGAGTATGTGGGAGTGGATGCGGACTTGGATGCAAATGTATGCAAACCACTGTGCAACGATATGCAGATGTGTGTCCTGGATTTGTGGGAAGGAGTTCTGTGACTGATTCTGTGTTCAGAATCCTGGTTCTGGCGGGCTTTGCTCTCTGAGGGGCTCTGCGAGGGCTGGAGATCTTGCCATCTTGCGTGGCAACATGGGAGCTGGCTGCTGCAGAGCATTCTGGTGCCAGTGGAAACCATTTGGGGATCCATGTCGGCCTTCTGATCCTCTATGAAGCTGCCCCCACCCGCCAGAGCAGACTAGCTGACAGAAGGCTGTGAAGACAGAGGCCTAGCCTGAGGAAGGGCTGGGGTGTAGCCAGAGCCAGGGACTCCTGAGAACCTGGGAACACAGAGTGCAGGACCAGGGAGGAAAGACCACACTTGGTATTATTTCCAGGTTTTCAGATGCTCCCAGCCCTCTGCTGTGACCATCGCTGGGGAGCCCAGGACTGCCTTCCCTTCCAGGTCTCAGCCCATACCCCAAGTGGTAACTGGGAGATCTAGGGGCTCCCCAGTGCTAAAAGCCACCATGTGTGGGTGCTCTCTTTGGGCAGGCACTGTGACCAAGCACTTTCACCATATTATATCAGTCAGTCCTTGACAGCGCTACCAGGTAAGCAGTGCTGCTGTGATCCCCATTTTATGGACAAAGAAACAGAGGCCAAGGTCACCCAACCTGCAAATGGTAGACCTAGGATTCAAACCCAATCTGTCAGTCTCCAAAAGTGGCCCTCTTCACTGCCACTGCCTGCCTCCCCTCCCATGCCACAGTGGCCACTGTGCTCCCAGCTCCCATTGGAGGTGCTTGGGGAGGGGCAAGTCCTAGGGGAAAGCTCCAGTGTGGTGATTGGCGTTGCGACCCATGCAAGGTAAGGTAAGCTGGCCGCCATCTCAGTGACACACACACACCTCAACACGCCGCCCCACCCAAAGTGCCTCCACTCAACTACAACAGCACCTGTC